GAACGGTTTGGGCTACACAGTAATATGACCCCTCTGTGGAAAGCTGAGAATCTCACGAAAAAGATGGTGATCTCCGTTTGCGGACGGCCGGACCTGTCTGGCTGGCCGGCCGGACCTAGACTCGTCTGAAGGTCCCCGGCACCAGTTTTAAAAAAAATGATGGACGTTTATATGGACGTTTAAAATGTAAATGTATATGGAGATAGTTTAATGCCTAAAATAAGGGGATAAATACATGAAAAAAAAAATGAAAAAAATCCAGATCGTATATCTCTCAGATATAGGATATACACTTCAGAACAAACTTCCTTTAGATCTTTTGGGGGACATTTTTTTGGGACTATCTGTTCCATGTAATGACTTTGTTATTTAGTGCGTTTCTATTGGATAATAGCAGTAATTCCAAATTCAATGTTTCATCCAATAATTTTATTTTATTTTTGATAACTTGAGAGTCTTAAAATTCAAAATCAAAGGACTAAATAATCCTTGGTATGACCATCTTAAAACAATTCCATATGTTATCTTAGAACCCTCCCCTGGCTTAGACTCCTAGAGGGTTAAGGCCTGGTACAGAATACAACAGCCGTCATAAGGAGAGATGAGACAAAACTAGACAGTTTTAGAATTTTGTGTTGTATAACAGCTTTCTAAAGATAAAAAAAATAATAGATACTCGGTTGAGACTGTTTCTACGGTAAAGGTGCCTCTTTACAATGACGTGATAAAGCTTTGAAACAAAGTTGCAACTGGTTGTTTGTAGCAAAGGGTTTCAGCAAACGAGTATCATACAATACATGCACCAGAAACAGTGCACACTTTGTGACCTGTCAGAAAAATATCAGCAATTTAAGCTAGCTATTAACTACAGCAAAATAGCCAGCCAGCTGTCTGCTTGGCTAAACACAGAACGTCTGCGCACTGTTCTTTGATTGGCTAAACTGACAAGTGTCGTCTCACGTCTTTGCTAAGATTCGACATGTTGAAACTTGGAAACTAGACCGTTCAGATCAAGCAAACTTTGTTGGAAAGCTACATAACACCGTCATGTCTCGTCTCAGTAGTTGTAGTTGTATCTGTATTTTACTTTAGTCTTCTTTTAATATCTTATTAATATTCTATTTAATATTCTATCCTGTTTGTCCTTCTTTTTTGCATTCTATGCTGCTTTACCGGTTTACCATATTTCTTTCTCTGTTTTGTATTATTTATATGTACAGCACATTGAGTTGCTGTCTCTTCACATGAAAATATGTCGCCAATAAGTGTGCAAATAAGTGTGAAGTTTCATAATAAACCCCTATGTTCCAGTATAGCTTAGTGGGTAAGAGCGTTGTGCCAGTAACCGAAAGGTCGCTGGTTCTAATCCCCGAGCCGACTAGGTGAAAAATCTGTCTGTGCCCTTAAGCTCATGTAAGTCGCTCTGGATAAGAGCGTCTGCTAAATGACTAAAATGTATGAATTGTGCCAAATGAATAAAGTTGTATTATTATTATACGCTTTATGCTCAGATTATCTGAACCAAATGAATGCTGTATGATTGAATGTTCTCTCATTTTTACCATAGTTATTTGCACTGACGAGAAGTTAACCTTTTGGTTTTTTCGTCATTTCAGTAAAAAATCAATCCAAATGACATATGTCATAGGGAGATGGCGACTTCTGTCATAACTCATAACCTGTTCCAAGGCTGCCTGAGTCTGCATTCTCTGCAACCTAGGCAGCAATATGCCTACTGTGGCTACATCCAGAGAGATATATAGCCTAGTGTTGATTCTTGTCACACACAGACCTTGAATGACAAAGTGGAGGAAATGGTGGCAGAATCCACTGTGCCTTTGGACTGATGTGAAGATGACGAGGCGAAGGGGGAAAGTCTCTAAAGATTGTTGTGACAGGCCCAGGATGTCAGATGTAGAAAATGTCAGACGACAGAGGCAGTAGTTTTCAAAAATATATATATATTCCTCGTCTCTAAGGTTAACTGTGTGTTTTTTAATGAAATTTCTGCCCCTTATCTCTTCCTGACCAGGTCTGGATAAATTACAACTGTCAAACAGCCCCACAGACCCTGAGTCTGGGAAGCTCGCGGCCAACGGGCATCAGAAGACTCTGTGAAAGAGACAACAGACACACACACACCTCATGGCAGCCAAAGGGAGATTTTGACAGTACTGAACTTCACAGGGGGAGGTGAAAGGGAATGAGTCTGTGTAAGAGACTTAGTATACTCCGACAGTGTCTGACGGGCACTGCGAACTGAGGGGAAGAGTAATTTAGCTTCATGACATTCCCTCCTCTTCCTCCTGGATGGATGGATGGATGCAGGACTTGGACAGGGACAGGTTTGAGCCCTCTGATAGACTGGCATCATCACAACAGTTGATGTTGACCTCAACAGTGACTCTGACCATGGGCCACTGAGCCGATGTCTGGGGGACTTTCTTTCTTTCTCTCAGCACCAATTTCCTCCCTCAATCTTTTCATTCAATCGAATTCTACCCTCTTGTGTTCCGTGCTTCCCTGATCACTTCTTCCGTCCTCCCCCCCCCCCCAAAAAATCCCATAATTGCACTATGCCCTATTGTCTTGGAGGTGAAATGTAACCTTTCGATGCAGAGGCTGAAGAGATGCTCGCTGACTAGTAGCCTGTTTGTTTCTAACCTCTTCTATTTCCACCACAGTTACTGAGCCCATACAGTGCGTTTCACCAATTTTTAAATCTATTTTGGTTATAAAATGCACATCAATGTGTTATTTGGAGAGAGAGAAGAAATGGCACCGTCTCACAAGTTTACTGAGGAGAGAATTCCTTTTTGAGAATTAGGAAGTAAATGTGTTGTGTATCAGTGGCCATGGGGCATTCACAATTGAATATCTGTATTATATGTAAAGACTTGGTGGTCTCCAATTAGTCATCTTATTCAGTATCTCATGATGTATAGCTGGGCTCTCCAACCCTGGTCCTGGAGAGCTACCCTCCTGTCGGTTTTCGCTCCAAACCCAGTTGTAACTAACCTGATTCAGCTTATCAACCAGGTAATTATTAGAATCAGGTGTGATAGATTAGGGTTGGAGACAAACCTACAGGACGGTAGCTCTCCAGGAAAAGGGTTAGAGAGTCCTGGTGTATAGTATGTGGTGAAGTATCGATGGCTACTGGTTTGATAAGTGGACATTTTTTATTTGCTTAAAATATCCACACATTTGAAAAGATGATGGCATTCTTTGATAGACTTACTTGCTGTTGAACTCTCCCTCATTAAAAAAATAATCATACTGATTACTCTGTAATTTTACGTATCACTCTTAGCCGTTTTACACGTCACACCCAGTTGCTTTGCATGTCCTCACAGGCGTGTGTGTATCGCCACTTCTTCCCTCTTTGCAGAGCTTGCCGGTACATTTAGTACCCGTTCACCTAAGTGACCACACCAGAGATCAGTCAGTGTCTCCTCCATTGACACAGACTGAATGGAGAGGTACTGTAGAGGAGTTAGGAGGGACTAGCCAATCCTTCATCTTTCTGGTCGTCTCAGGCCAGTTGTGAATGTGTCACAATGTGCTCTTTTTATTTTGCGTTACTCATACTCTGTGCAGTGCTTTCATTGAAATAAGATGTAGTTCATTATTTTGTCTTGATTTAATGACTGTTGTTTAGTTGCTGTTGATTTCGATCACTCTTTCGAGATGGGAAAACTAGAGTGATCCACACTTATTTCTTTGGTTCCAAAGAGCACAGATGGCAGCTTTCAAAGTTTCTTCCTGTGGTGGATGTTATGAAAATGTTGTGCGCTGGTAAACTTGATCTCCCTAAATAACTACTATGCTATTTTAAAGTGTTTTATTTCACGGGGCGTTAAGCTTTGTTGAACCTCTTTTTATTGTAAATTTTGTATTTACTTGTAAAATAATTACATTTGTAAGGCGCTTTTTATTATACAGATTAATCTCAAAGTGCATAAGATTTACACAACTAGACAGGGTAACTGAGACAAACAACCCAGCTGACACTACAAAGGACAAGGACACCAAGGAGCACAGCTATCAACAGAGAGCCTTCCTAAAGAGAAAGGTCTTTAGGCCTGTTTTAAGGGAACGCAGAGTCTGTGGTGCCTTCAGGTGGTCCGGGAGGGCATTCCAGATGCTGGGGGCGGTCGAGCTGAAAGCTGAATCAGAGTTGAATGTACATATTGTATGTTTCATACCTCTTTTGCATAATTTGGATGTAAATAGTGGGCTGCCGTTAAGCCCCACTGAGTGTTGGTTGTAAATAAGTCTACAGAAGCTCTTGGACTGTGATGTCACTAGAACCACCTTTTATGCCTTAGCAGGAGGAGGAATTCACCAGTCTTTATAAGAGTCACCTGTTAGTGTGTGTGCACATGTAAAAAATTAGCCACCTTAACTGTGAACACCACCCTGTCTCTGGATTTCAATGGCAAACCAGTTTTAATTTATTCATTGTCCTTCACAGTGAATATAGTCTAATCTACTCAACTCAAATGGCTATAGTGGGCTTCCAAAAATACAAATCACCAGGTAACCTGAGCAGTTGTGAAAATGGAAGGTGATGGCCCCAATAATGTGTCAGACTGTTTTTATGGTGACATTAATGTGCTTTCATTGTGATTTGTCATGACGATGCAAATTACGGGGGACATGATGAGAAAAATGTGTATTTAAATATGCATTTGAGACTTTTCTTGTTTTGCACAGGGACTGTTATGTCGATTTGATTTTAGTAAAACAAAAAGAGCTGTTTGTCATTTTACATTTACATTTTAGTCATTTAGCAGACGCTCTTATCCAGAGCGACTTACAGTTAGGGGAAACTTATATGCACTCACTGTGTTATTGGATGGAATTTGACAGGAAAGCGGTACTTATTGTCTGTCAAAAGGCTCACCTTAGATTCTGGAGTTCGCACTGCTAAGCCCTGTAGTGTCCTGTCCCCTCATTACAATGCAAGATTATGATCAATCCAATTTGACATCTCCTCAAAGGTTGAATTTGGCCATGCTGATGATACTGTGAAAAGTAATTAAAAATCATTGACCAAAACCCATTCATTCTGTGGCTAGTAAAGCTGCTGTTTCGTGCTGCCTTGACTGTCTGTCAAAGGGATTCCCTGTGAATTGGAATGCTCTGTGTTCCTCTCACCCTCAACAATCGGTTCTATTATAGTCAATAGCAAATGATCCCAAATGGCATCCTATTCCCAAAAGTAGTGCTCTATGTAGGGGATAGAGTGCCATTTGGGACAGACATAACCAGACGGGGGAATTGTTATGCTGCCCCTGCATATATTATTGGAGCACACCATAAGCACAATATATTACAATCATACTTTTACAATGAGTTTGAGGTGGACACAGTCTGGGCCTGTACCAGCCCAAGGGAACAGTTTTGGTTGCCTTAGTTTTTCCTCACTTGCTGAGGGTTTGAACTATTGAAGCGTGGCCTGTATTGGAGTAGCTACTCAGAAGCGTCATGCCCATAGGGGGCAAAGCCCAGATAGGTTCCCAATCTCATAACTAGCCACCAAAAAGCCATTTAAAGCTATCAAATCAAGTTAGAGTAGCTAGCTTGTCAAAATTTTTTTTTTTTTTTTTATAGGATTAAGCATGATTATGGCTCTAGATTGCAGTAAAAAACTGTTTCAGGGGTTTGAAAAATTCTAAATTCTCCAACTTACACCCCCCAGCCATTCTCACGTACTTTGTGCCCCCTCACATTTTTTGGGTGTATGCTATATGCCCTGTAGCTATAGTCTTTATCTGTTTGTTTGGCTGTCTGCATGTGATCTACTGCAAATTAACGTGAATGTATTTTTTTACCATGTTCTTTGCTATATGTGGGTTTGTTGTTTTACGATGTTGGTTTGTTTGCCAATAAAACAATGAAAATCATGTTTAAGTTGACATTGCTTTTTCATTTCACAGTTACATTTGTAACTTGAACAGCATTTGTGGTGTACGTCACAGGCTTCTTTTTGACACACTTGGCACAAGTTATCTTGCTGTTACCATGGAAGTTTGTCTGTATGAACTCCTGACAAGTCAGTGGTAACACAGTATTCTGGAGGACTGGGACTTGAGTAATAATTGCACTTTATTGGTATGCCTGAAAGTGATAATTGTTTTGTGCATTTATCCTTTGATGAATGCATTTAAAGTCTGTTCATAAAACAACAGGAATAACTTCCTGTTTTACGGCACCTTGCTTCCTTTTGTCATTTACAGCCTGCAAACCACAACATAAGATCTGCTGGAAGAGCTCAATCCAAACATTTTGACAAATTATACGATTTCTCTGAAAATGTTTTAATTTAGATTCTGGAGGTACTTTGTATTTATTTGGACAGTAAAGCTACAACTTTTAATTTGGCTCTATACTCCAGCATTTTGGATCTGAGATCAAACGTTTTATATGATACTACAGTACAGAATGTCACCTTTTATTTGAGGGTGTTTTCATATCTGTTTTATCATTTAGAAATTAATGCACTATGTATCTAGTCCCTCCATTTTGAAGGTGTCATAAGTATTTGGACAAATTCACTTAGTGTGTTAAATTTAGTCAAAGGTTTAGTATTTGGTCCCATATTCCAGTTACGTTTTGGAGTCACTTTTATTGTAAATCAGAATAGAGTATGTTTCTGAACACTTCTACATTGTAGATGCTACCATGATTACGGATAATCATGAATGAATCATGATGAGTGAGAAAGTTAGATTCAGAAAGATAATGCCCCCAAAACATGCTAACATCTCCATTACAATAACGGGAGGTTAGCATTTCTAGGGAGTATGATATTTCTGCATTACTTTCTCATTATTTACGATTCATTCATAATTATCCGTAATCATGGTAGCATCCACATGAATGTAGAAGTGTTCAGAAACGTTATATTCTTATTTACAATAAAAGTGACACAAATGACACTACATTATTTACCATTCATTTCTATTGGGCACAACATAATCTGAAACAAGTTTGTAGTCACAAGCTTGATGTAGTCATTGCGTGCTAGAAATATGGGACCAAATACTAAACTTTTGACAATTTAATACACTAAGTGAATTTTCCAAATACTTATGACACCTTCAAATAGGGGCACTAGACACAAAGTACTTTCATTTCTAAACAGTGAAACGTAAGAAAATGCCCTCAAATAAAACATTTGATCCAAAATGCTGAAGTATAGAGCCAAATTAAAAGTTCTCTTCACTGTCCAAATAAATACATAGGGGAGTGTTTATGTTGAAGTTACATTCAACTATCTTTCATATTATGAAATAAAATTCAGAGGTCAGACCAGTATTTTGTGGTAGGGAGACCTGCACAGAGGACATTTAGGTCGGCCCTCCACACAGAAAGCTTCGAAGGCTTCCAGGCAGGACTGGTGGAAGAGGTGTGAGCAGGACAGGAGCACAGTGCGTCTGTTGCTGTGGTGCTGGGTGAGTGTCCTCCCTGCCTCGGTCCCTAGTCTGGGGCTGCACAGAGCGGTGAGACAGATGGGACAGTCCCGTGTATCTCTCTGGATGACCTGTGACAGTGGAGACAGACAGGGCTGTAGGGACGGACCAGTATTCCAAAGTAAGACTCTTCAATAAAATACCACCGCACGTGTTACCACACTACCACATAGGGTTGGGGTCAATTCCATTTCAATTCGTGAAGGAAACTGAAATTCCAATTTTCCTCAATGCCCCCAGGAGCAAAATGTGGAATAGTTATTTGTCTACTTCCTGAATTGACTGAATTTAAAAGGAATTTACCCCAACCCTGCTACCATACATTTATAATGGCTATCTTCTCTCACAATAGCTTCCATACACACCCTTTTATCTTAAGTTCAATGGATATTATCTGGTTTAACGTGTCACACAAGCTTGATTGTTTGGCCGTGTGTCTCTGAGATACCGTTGTAGGGCAGGTATCCGCTGCAGCTCCACCAATAATTAACTTCCTTCCTTTATTCAGAAACAGTCAACACGCTCAAGGCTTAAACACTTGATAATGAGCTTTGCGACATTTATGGTGTTTACCTTCACGAGGAAGGTGCACGGTGTGCGATAAACACGCTGTGAGTTCACTGTTTGATTCTCTCTGTACGAGTCGACATTGAGCAACACCTGTTGCCCTGCGCACAACCTTTTAACACGAGATAAAGAAACATGCCCTTTTCCACCTCCTGTGGGATTGTGGGAAACTCCATTGGCTGGCATTGAAAATACCTATATACTGTACAACAGAGCCTATGGAACAGCAAATCTAGATCTCTTTTCAATTTGAACCACAGTACAGATGGTTCAGACGGGGCGATGAAAGGCCTGGCGTGCATTATTAGACTGGCTCTGTTTTCTTGTAAACACAGGATTATTTCCATCATTCATTTGGAAAAATGAATGATCATCTCTAGGAGATTTGACTTTGTGTAGCAGCTGCAGCACAGCCTCTCCTGGACAAGCATTAGCATGTTGAATGAATGGCATGGCTACAGGGAGAATTAGACCAGGATTAGAACTTTATGAGATTCTCTTTGATAGTGCACTGTGTATTTGTATGGTGAGTTTTTCCACAGTAGGGTTGCACAATTCTTTTGCAAAATGTTCTGTTTTTCCAGAAATCCTGCTTGGACATTTCCGGAAAACCTGGGAATGTTGGGAAAGTTACAGGAATTTTGCAACCCTATTCCAAACCTTTTCCTGTATTTTCTGCCAGTCGTCCTCCTGCGGCTCCGAGACGTGCTCTCTCTCAAACTGATGGAACACTCTTCTGCTCGATGACACCGACTGGTCGATATCGTTCAGGAAAGCCTCCACGTCTGTGTGGCAGTATTGGACAAAGCTGTCATTCAACTCCTGCAACTAATTGGAAACAATTTAGTTACATAAAGGGGCATCGTTCAATTGGACACCAAATAGAGTTCTGTTTTTCTATCAGATTGAATTGCTGCTATATTGTAATGCTTGAAGCCTGCTGACAAAGTTAAGTTGTTAAACAGGCCAGATCGATACCGACAGGTCTCAGACTTACATGGAACATTTATGGAAACAAGTGAAAAGATAGCTTGTGCTGGGAAACACACACACACACACACACACACACACACACACAGGCCATCCCTCAGGCTGCCTCACCGAGCTCGCTCCTGTCACAGTGACATCCCAAGTACTTTATTGCTGGGCTTTTATCACTAATTAAACAACTGTTAACCATTCAGATGAGGTTTTATGGGCCGACTTTTCCACAGTGAAGGCAAACAACATGGGCCCTGGTGAACTTTGCCTTGTCTCACTGCAGAGGACAGGAAACGGGACGGAGCAAGGGGAACAAAGGAAAGGAGAAGGGAGTGGTGTTGTCTCACTGCAATCCATCTTGATGTCAGCAGTTATCCTCCTTAATGTGTTGACTTAGGGTCGGACCTCAAAAAGGTAAAAATGGAAAGCTGGTCATCGTAATCAGCTGATAAGAATGTGAAAACTAGTCAAATATCTTAAAGGCTTTGCTGCCTGGGGCAACTGCAGCTTTACCATGAGGATGACAGACATGTTGACTGTCCCAAATTACACCCTATTCCCTAAGTAGTGCAATACTTTTGACCAGGGCCCATAGGTCTCTGGTCAAAAGTAGTGCATTACATAGGGAATAGGGTGACATTTGGGACTTAGCTTGTCTCTGAGTATCGGAGGAAGTCCTACTATATCCCAGAATCCTCTAGGAGCTGCCAATCCCCATCCTTGACGTGGCCGTCACTGTCACCAGGATGGGATCCTGGACAGGGATAATGTGTTCCAACAGAGTTAATTAGACCATTAAAATTGCTGCTCGTGTTTACGTGACATGCTAAGGCAGTGTTTATAGATGATGGAGAATGAGAGAAGGGGATTGTGGGTAGGACACTCCGACCTCTCCGAGCACATTACAAGTTGGGCGTAATCAAGTTGTCACTCTTAATATCGGTCTCTCTGAACCCACTGAAGCACTCTGATTGATTACATAGAGCTCTAGAGAGAGACATGAGTGGCCTCTCTTTAAATAGCTATCAGAAAGGCTAGTGATGGAATGGACCCCTAACCAAGTATGCATCCCAAATGGTACCCTATTCCCATACAGTGCACTACTTTTGACCAGAGCCCTAAGCAAAATCAGTGCACTATATAGGGAATAGAATTTGGTAGACATTCCAAGGCTCACACGATAAATATACCAGTAAAATCAGTATATGTGCTTCTCAAGTTTTCGCTAGAAGGTCAGTGTTTACTATTCAGCCGTGTCTCTGCAAATCGCCACTCCAGTCAGAGGTAAGTAAGCACCATCGAGGGGGAGATTTCAGTCTCACTAGGTGTCAATCTTCCCTTTCCCAGGGAGCCACAGACTAGACAAGGCAGAGAGGCCTTAGTGTCAATAGGCCCCCATCCAGTTGCTGGAACCCACCAACAGCCAGCCAAAGCTGAAAGGACTAACTCCTTTAGAATGTGTATTCTGTCCTCAGATCAAAGTCAAATCCTGTGTAATATTTTCGTTCTTAAGTGGGACAGTGAAGAAAGCCAATGCAAATGACAACCAGGGAACCTGCCACCGATATGCACCCCCCACCCTCCCTCAACCCCCCCTTTCCGAGAGGTGGGGGCAAACACACAGACAAACACACAGTGGGCCCTTGCTTTTGTGTTGACCATGGAATGTCCAGACTGTTTGACCAAAACACACACTCTCCGTAATTAGTTTACAAACAGTGTATGATTCACATGGCATCAAAGGCGTTGAGTTCCCCCCTACTCGGGCCCTGCATCTCCACCGATGCCCACGTCCACTCTGACCTGGGATCAGATCTGCTGTCTGTCCGTCAATCACAGCAACCTAAAGTCCACCACTGCTAAATAGGAGAGGAATGTCTGGTAGGTGAGTTTCAGGAAGAATGGAGACTTAGGATGCATCCCAAATGGCACCCTATTACCTCTGGTCAAAAGCAGTGCACTATATAGGGAAAAGGGTGCCATTTGGGACGCATCCTTATAGGAGTGGGGAAAGCCTCTGCAATGTGACCTGGTGGTCACCAGTGGACCGACTCACCAGATAAGAGCACATGTTTTGACCCGCATGGCATTGTTTGCGTTTCAATTCAGGAAATAAACTGAAATTCCAAATACATTTTATCTCAATGCATCTCTCAGAGAATTTCAGTTTACTTCCTGAATTGACTGAATCGAAAAAGGAATTGACCTCAACCCTGCTCCTAAATGACACAGATGTTAATATTACCTTTGTCTCAAAGAATCTTTGTCGTAGCTGTTTGTCTTTTGGGGGAACTGTTTTCCTCAGATGTCTGTACCACTTCCGAACAACATAGGCTCTCCAACACGCTTGAATTCTACCATTGACGACATGAAAAACATTTAGGTAGGTAAAACAGCAAGGATATAGGCCTAACACAGGGTGAAAATGATAACTTGATCAATAAGGTTTTTGTGGACGCAGATTAGGCCTAAAATTAGTCTTGGATTAAAAATCATTCTCAGTGGAGAATCTCCATTGAGTATGCTATTTAGTCCAGGACTAGGTTTAATCTGATTCCAGGAAACATGCAGTCCAATCTCTGGAGATGTTTACCTGATGGCACACCTCTCTTTAAAGAGGCGAGCTCCATCGTGGATCACTCTGGTCTCATACTGCTCCTTCCTGCACATAGGACAGCACTTCCTACCTGAAAACCTCTCAAAGGCCTGCAGACAGGCTCTGTGAAACACGTGGGAGCAGGAGAGCAAAACCTAGACACAATATGAATATCATTATTAATGTTGATTGTTGAATATTATAATCATTTATATAAATATAGTTATATTTAAATTAATCAGCTTTAGCCTTATTACTAGATTAGATTCCCTTGGCATTTCACTGATTGAATGACTTCTTGTTTTGAAATGATTGTGGCATGCAGAGCCTCCTGGGGATGCTGGTGTGTATGTATTGGTTTTCAACATCTCTAAGTGTTTTTGGTGAGAGGTATGTGTGTGTGGGTTCTTCTTTCCTTCTTTCCTCTTTCCACAATTTCAGACGTCCCCATGAGGACAAAGGCTATTTTAAGCTTAGGGGTTAAGTTTAGGGTTACAATTAGGCTTAGTATTAGGGTAAGGGGTTAGTGGTTAGGTTCAGGGTTAGGAGTTAGGTTTACGGTTTGGGTTACAGTTAGGGCTAAGGTTATGGTAAGGGTTAGGTTTAGGTTTAGGGAAAATAGGATTTTGAATAGAAATACAGTTTAGGTCCCATGAGGATAGAAGAACATAACGTGTGTACGTGTGTGTACACGCATGTGCGCGTGTGTGTGCTATTTGCTCAGGAGCCAGTGGGAGCCAGCGAGCCCATGCTGGGAGGGCTGGGACCTGGGGCTGCAGTCTCCTCTCCTCTGCTCCACCTCCCACATACTATTTTGTCGTCTGCTCTCACAAGGAGAGAGAGGAGACAGCAGCCCCAGCTATGGGGATTGGCACACACAAACCAGTGTACTCAAAGCTCTGCAGGGCAGGGGGAGCCATATTGATTTCCCATTGTTTTTGGCCCAACCAACGTACTCCATCACCAGTGAAAGGGCCCCCTGCAGTGCACAATCTATATCTAGGAGCTCGACAAGCCATTAGCCGGAGTGAATTTTTGCTCTTACAAGCAAAGTCTGCTTTACCCCACAGGCTACAAGCTTCACCGAGAGAGGCTGAATATGGAGGACTGGGAAACCGAGAGACAGTTTTTGAGCCACTTCTGAATGTTTTTACATGGTACTGTTTTTACATGGTATGGTATGGTCTGTGTTTGGTGTTAGTAAAGTGTTAAATAGCTGAAATCATAATCAGTAGTAACTGATGTTGTATGAATGAAGGAAATGTAAATGATTTAGGCCTGCAAAAATGGCTAAACGTTTTAAAATACAGAAAATAAAACAATTTCAAATAATTGCAGTTTCACTAATAACAAAGCCATTTAACATGTTTTTGTCTAACACAGATCAACAAATCCACAAAGATTCACATTTGTCCCTTTCCCTTGTAAGCAGGCTCTAATTAACATTTTTCCCTTGAGTCAAATTAATATTTACATGTGCATCTATGGAAACTGTGCTTTGTGAGGCCGTCTATTCTACCCCGCATTCTTCAGGAGATTGGCATCTTAAAAGGGGATCAGAAAGGTGTAAAAGACTGAACGACCCTCACAGTAACACACTGATTGCTACATCATTGTGTCACAGTTGAGTTCCAAGGCAGTATGAGTAAATTTGTACAGTTGTCTACACAGATTAGAACACACAGGAACCTAAGGGAGGGGGAGAGAGGGTGTTTGGGAAGGGTAGTTGGGGGGAGGTGGGCTGCCCTAGAAGGGTGAAGAATGTTGAAAACGTAAAAAAATGGCCCTCTGACTGACTGAGAATAAACACCAGGTATTGTGTACAGAGGAATACCTGAGTCTGTAAGCGAAACTCCTCCCTGCAGATCACACAGGGCTGCTTGGAGTCCCCCTCATGAATAGACCTCGACTTGACCTGACTCCATTCATCTACCGTCAGTTTCCTGGCCGGGGACTGCACCAAACCCAATTTCTGGGCTGGAGAGGCAGACAACGACAAACAACAACCCAATATCAAACAACAAATGAAAAATGTCATACATAATAGCTCAGGTCTCACAATGAGACCTCCTCGTTCCCAAAGTGTTGTTGAACTTGTTCCCAACTGCTGATTTAACAAGGCTTTATAAAATACATTTGATTGATTGTTAGCCTACCTAATGTCAGTGGTGGAGCTGCTGGGTCAAGCACATACTCTTTCTCCTCTCGTCCATCGTGTTGCTGGGGCCCTTTCTGTTTCACAGTTCCATGGTTTCTTTTGCAGTGTGTTTCAGAGGAAGCTCTTCCGCACCATCTTGTCTTCACAGGGTCACACAGTGACAAATTCTGAAGCAGTAAGTTTCGTGTGATATGGTCTTGAAGAGCAACTGAGGTGATTGCTAACTTACCACTGGTTACTTTTGAGTTCAAGCCCTGTAAAATGAGAGGAAAGTTTAACTTCGTATTGATTGTGAAGTTTGCATCTATTTTTACAATAAATAGATAAGACAAAACAAAGGTTTAAAAAAAGACTGCATTCACATAGCCTAATTTAGCAATATTTTTGCATTAATATATAAGGACTTTGTAAATCTGAAATGTGCACACATGTTGAAAAGAGTTTTAGCGAAATGGGCCATGCATCTGTTCTGTTGCTTTATGATAGACAAATAGGCTACGTGTGACCCCTTCGAAGACCCATAACCATATCTATTTTTATGGTTGGACCCTAAATCTAAATTCATGCATTGTCTATGTTTATGGCAAATGCATTTTCTTATTTTCAAACATTGATTCTCAGATCACATGCATAACGCACAACTTTTCTGAAGACGTTACTATAATGTAACTCACTCTGAAAGATGCCCAAGTAACGTTATGAGACTTCTTAGTTAGCAAGCTAGCTAGCTAGCTAACATTACATTGTTACATTGCTAAGCAACTGCTACAAGCAAATCAACATACACTTCTTGCTAAATATGCATGCGTCTGAAAGATTGTCGGGAAAGGACACTTGCTACAATTGTTGCAAAACTATTCAATGAGCGACATGAACGAAAAAAAGACCAAAGAGTAAAATCCAAACCTTCTGCATTGTGATCTGTTGGAGGTAGTGTTTATATGGTTACTTAGTAACCAAGAAGGCAGTCCTCCATCACCTCCTCCTCTCCATCCACCCCCAACAAGTTCCTTGATCAAGTTAATCAGTAGCTAGGTTTCCATCCAATTAGCGACAAGTTTTCATGCGAATATTCTAGAATCAGCATAAATAAAATATGCGCATTTTCCCACCAGTGGTGTGTTTCACCAAACGAACTTGTTTATACAAATCAGTGCGTGATGACGTGATGCACACCAAATGTAGGCTACTTTTTCGCTTAAATGTTCATGTAGCTACCGAATAGAAATCTTAAATTCAATGTGTTTCCAACTCTACAGATAGTTTGGTCACAAAAACTGTTGCTTAAATAGCAAATGTGCCTACTCTGGTCTTGGCACGTGCGCTGTAGCCAATAGCTCGCGGATACTGTGCTGGTAGGCTAGTCTACGTGATGAGATTATTATTATGGATAAGAGCGAGAATATTTTTTTTGTCAAACGGCAGTCAAACTTCGTTCATCATGTTACCAGAATAAGACCCTCGACATTTATTTGAAAGCAGCATCAAGATCACCGTGCACTTTCACTACCCTGTGGGCGAAGGAACTCAGTCCGGTTTTAAACTTACTCTTGAAAGTTGTAATAGTAGAATGCACAAGGTGCAACTTCGAAATTGGGTAGTGCATCATCAGTTCCTCATGTCATGTTAGTCATTGCATACTTAACTTGTCAGAAATGTCAAAATTAACAAGCCATGTCAGCTAACGTTTTTTTTATTTAGGTTTAGCCCATATATATTGTAGAAATGTTTTTGTCACTCAAATATCACATGAATACACATTAGACATAGCAAAATGAATAGAATTGCAAGAGAATAGCTTAAAAACCGCAAGATTTTCTTTGCACCTGCAGGGTCTAAAATCCGGTTTTTGTTTCATCATTATGGGGTATTGTGTGTAGATTGATGAGGGGGGAAAAAACAATTTAATCAATTTTAGAATAAGGTTGTAACGTAAAGCAAAATGTGGAAAAAGTCTGGGGTCTGAATACTTTCCGAATGCACTGTATAGGCTACATGATTTAAATTGTGATTTTTTTAACCAAATAGATGTTTCGTTTTTTTAAATGTGTCTGAACCAATAATATAGCCTATATATAACCTAGATGACACACGGTTGCGCTGTATTGAAGCCACCGCGCAGCCATCTTGGTACTCCTCCATTGTAAAAAAAGATTTTGGAAGCTATAGAAATGCATTTATTAATGTCTATTAATTAGTTTTTGACACGTCTTCTATTACAGACACCTTAATGCATTCTTTTAAATTATATTATGTTAGCTAAACATACAAATAAAAAATATATACACTACCGTTCAAAAGTTTGGGGCCACTTAGAAATGTCCTTGTTTCCGAAAGAAAAGCAATTTTTTTATCCATTAAAATAACATCAAATTGATCAGAAATACAGTGTAGACATTGTTAATGTTGTAAATGGCTATTGTAGCTGGAAACGGCTGATTTCTTTAATGGAATACATTACATACATCTACATTGGCGTACAGAGGCCCATTACAGTGCCTTGCAAAAGTATTCATCCCACTTGACGTTTTTCCTACTTTGTTGCATTACAACCTGTAATTTAAATTGATTTTTATTTGGATTTCATGTAATGGACATACACAAAATAGTCCAAATTGGTGAAGTGAAATGAAAAAAATAACTTAAATAACTAAAAAATAAGTCACGGAAGAATGGTGCATGCACATGTATTCACCCCCTTTGCTATGAAGCCCTTAAATAAGATCTGGTGCAACCAATTACCTTCAGAAATCACACAATTAGTTAAATAAAGTCCACCTATGTGCAATCTAAGTGTCACATGATCTGTCACCTGTTCTGAAAGGCCCCAGAATCTGCAACACCACTAAGCAAGGGCCACCACCAAGCAAGCGGCACCATGAAGACCAAGGAGCTCTCCAAACAGGTCAGGGACAAAGTTGTGGAGAAGTACAGATCAGGGTTGGGTTATAAAAAAATATCCGAAACTTTGAACATCCCACGAAGGACCATTAAATCCATTTTTAAATTTAAAGAAAATGGCACCACAACAAACCTGCCTAGAGTGGGCCACCCACCAAAACGTATGGACCAGGCAAGGAGGGCATTAATCAGAGAGGCAACAAAGAGACCAAAGATAACCCTGAAGGAGCTTCAAAGCTCCACAGCGGAGATTGGAGTATCTGTCCATAGTACCACTTTAAGCCGTACACTCCACAGAGCTGGACTTTACGGAAGAGTGGCCAGAAAAAGCCATTGCTTAAAGAAACAAATATGCAAACACGTTTGGTGTTCGCCAAAACGCATGTGGGAGACTCCCCAAACATATAGAAGAAGGTACTCTGGTCAGATGAGACTAAATTTGAGCTTTTTGACCATCAAGGAAAACGCTATGTCTGGCGCAAACCCAACACCTCTCATCACCCTGAGAACACCATCCCCACAGTGAAGCATGGTGGTGGCAGCATCATGCTGTGGGGATGTTCTTCATCGGCAGGGACTGGGAAACTGGTCAAAATTGAAAGAATGATGGATGGGGCTAAATACAGGGAAACCTTCCAGAGATTTGAGACTGGGATGGAGTTTCACCTTCCAGCAGGACAATGACCCTATGCATACTGCTAAAGCAACACTTGAGTGGTTTAAGGGAAAACATTTAAATGTCTTGGAATGACCTAGACAAAGCCCAGACCTCAATCCAAGTGAGAATATGTGGTATGACTTAAAGATTGCTGTACACCAGCAGAACCCATCCATCTTGAAGTAGCTGGAGGAGTTTTGCCTTGAAGAATGGGCAATTGCTGCAAAAGGTGGCTCTACAAAGTATTGACTTTGGGGGGGAATAGTTATGCACGCTGATTTTTTTCGTTTTTTTGTCTTATTTCTTGTTTGTTTCACAAAAAAAATATTTTGCATCTTCAAAGTAGTAGGCATGTTGTGTAAATCAAATGATACAAACCCCCAAAAAATCTATTTTAATTCCAGGTTGTAAGGCAACAAAATAGGAAAAATTCCAAGGTGGGTGAATACTTCGCAAGCCACTGTATCAGCAACCATCAGTCCTGTGTTCCAATGGAACGTTGTGTTTGCTAATCCAAGTTTATCATTTTAAAAGGCTAATTGATCATTAGAAAACCCTTTTGCAATTATATTAGCACAGCTGAAAACTGTTGTGCTGATTAAAGAAGCAATAAAACTGGCCTTTTTGAGACTAGTTGAGTATCTGGAGCATCAGCAATTGTAGGTTCGATTACATAATCAAAATGGCCAGAAACAAATAACTTTCTTCTGAAACTTGTCAGTCTATTCTTGTTCTGAGAAATGAAGGCTATTCCATGCGAGAAATTGCCAAGAAACTGAAGAGCTCGTACAACACTGTGTACTACTCCCTTCACAGAACAGCGCAAACTGGCTCTAACCAGAATAAAAACAGAAGTGGGAGGCCCCAGTGCACAACTGAGCAGGAGGACAAATACATTAGAGTGTCTAGTTTGAGAAACAGACGCCTCACAGGTCCTCAACTGGCAGCTTCATTAAATAGTACCCGTAAAACACCAGTCTCAACGTCAACAGTGAAAAGGTGACTCCGGGATGCTGACCTTCTAGGCAGTGTTGCAAAGAAAAATCCATATCTCAGACTGGCCAATAAAAATAAAAGATTAAGATGGGCAAAAGAACACAGACACTGGACAGAGGAAGATTGGAAAAAAGTGTTATGGACAGACGAATCTAAGTTTGAGGTGTTAGGATCACGAAGAAGAACATTTGTGAGACATTGACCAAATGAAAAGATGCTGGAGGAGTGCTTGATGCCATCTGTCAAGCATGGTGGAGGCAATGTGATGGTCTGGGGGTGCTTTGGTGGTGGTAAAGTGGGAGATTTGTACAGGGTAAAAGGGATCTTGAAGAAGGAAGGCTATCACTCCATTTTGCAATGCCATGCCATACCCTGTGGACGGCGCTTGATTGGAGCCAATTTCCTCCTACAACAGGACAATGACCCAAAGCACAGCTCCAAACTATTTAGGGAAGAAGCAGTCAGCTGGTATTCTGTCTATAATGGAGTGGCCAGCACAGTCACCAGATCTCAACCCTATTGAGCTGTTGCGGGAGCAGCTTGACTGTATGGTACGTAAGAAGTGCCGATCAAGCCAATCCAACTTGTGGGAGGTGCTTCAGGAAGCATGGGGTGAAATCTCTTCAGATGACCTCAACAAATTGACAACTAGAATGCCAAAGGTCTGCAAGGCTGTAATTGCTGCAAATGGAGGATTCT